GGTTGGGCGGGTCCCTCTAGAAAAAAATATTGGGGGGGGGGGGGTGGGTGCCGTCGCATTTTTTTCTTCGTACGGCAGAACATCCCCTGGGCCCAGAGGTAGTCTGGAACCTTGATCACGAAGAGGTGTCACTGATAACATGCGTCAACAGATAACTAGTAGAAAGCGTGCATGACTTTATGCTCACGTCTTTTTACAAAAATATTATTTTACCGTTCCACGGAAGGTGGAGGGTTCTTTAGGACATGTACCAATAACTGACAACTAGCTCGCATACACTATTTCTTGAACAAATAAATGTTTTAATGAATCACTATTTGCAGACGTATATCCGTCCAGTAACCGATCCGTCACCAGCTGTGGACTTATCGTCGCTCCCGAAACTGAAAGCGAAAGTCGTTCATCACAACCATGGAGTCTAGCTGGAATCAGAATTTCAATATATTTTTAATCTAATAAATAATGTATTACGATGAAGGGTTTTCTCATGAAATCGAGTTGATTCATATCTCGTAGTAAGATTCTCCTTAGAGATATCTATGAAAAATGTGAAAATTGGGCAGAATGAAGTCACAAAGAGAAAGTAAATCTAAGGGTCCTCCTGCCAAAAGAGGCACAACTAGTGGAAGAAAAGCGACAGGACGCGTAGTGATGATGAGAACATTGTTCCTTGCGCGCTATCTCCACCCATCTCCATCCATGCTTGGCTCACATCCCACTTAACGCCCTATTTCACCTGTTCTCAACATCTGATAATCTACACTTCGAACATCCCAAGAGATCTCGTCGACTACAACCGAGGAAAGGGGTAAGAGCAGGGGCGTTAGTGAGAATCTCCACCGTTACTCAGGACTCCTGTACTCTTTCCCCATTAATGAGTACCACTCTCAGCAACCACTCCTCTCCAAGAACTATACGGCTGCCACGCTAAGGAATCCCTAATCCCTGGAAATTGTGTCTGGGCGGGAGATGGCATTTTGCTGCAATATCACAATTAGTGTTTTCAGAACTGTCTCTGTGAATAAGAGGAAACCGAAAGTCTATGGTACGATTTCCTCCAACTACGGGCGTCCTCGTCTTCCTAGACCGCCATCTTGTGTTCCTCATTTCTACAAGCGGCTTATCCTTACCGCAGGGAACTTAGGGCGCGGAGGATCCCAACTGGGGGATCGCAGTTGGTCGCTGGGGGAGAAGGGTCGTACTTGCTTTTATAAGAAATGTTTTCATTCATTGACTTTTCTTAGTTTTCTCCGTTTTAAGTGCGCTTCGCTTTACCCCTCCCCCCCCCTTCTCCCCCCGTTCGAGGGAAGTGTGGAGGGACTCGAAAAGGAAGCTCCGAGAAAATGGTAAAAAGTGGGGAAAGGAAGGGGAAGGGTCGTATCAAAGAAAAGAATTTGAGTGGAGAGGTGCAGGGGTCGGATTGCGCGAAAACTCCCCGATGACGCGCTCTATGCTTCCCAAATGCTCCGGCCCAGCTTCACCTACAGGGGCTGTGCCACCGGTAGCGTTGCTTTCTGCCATCGTATTTCAAGCCAAATCTTCATAGCAAGCTTCCATTAAGAGCAAAAGTCGACTGAAAGCCCAATGAAACCAGCTCAAATACCATGGGAACTTCCGAAAGTCTTGAAAGGCGATTTCTGATGCCAGGAGCTTACTTCCCCTCAGGGCTGCTTCAGCAAATGAATTTTGAGCTTTGAAAACCGTATTTCCGAGGGCAACTCGACAAAATTTCAGGACTCCCTACCCCAAATTGGGATGCCCATCCCGGCCAAAATTCCACTTTTGGGCCAATCCGTTAACCAGAGGCTCGCCATCTTGTCCATGGCTCTACTGGGAGCATATCGCTCCTCCTAGCAAAGCTGTCCACCTTGTGTACTGCTTAATATCCAAGAACTGTACAGCAAGTTTTCCCAGAGGCCGGCCAGCCGGCGCTCCAGTTGCGGCGGGTCCTGCAACGATTTGTTTTCGGCCGCGCGCGCCTGGCCGCGCGACGCGTCGATGACGAATCGCGACCAGTTGGCGGCTGGTCAGTGGCCAGGTGGCTGTCCTGCCACTTAATTTGTTTGCGGGGAACATTTACACTTATTCATTTCTGCCACTTATTCCCTTCTCATATGTTTCCCGAGAGGGAATTGAAGCTTTACTGCCGAGATCGGGACGGATTCGCGTTGCTATGCCGGACGCTTTGGTCCGCCTTGTTGATTTTTATACCAAAACTCCGAAGTTCACCGCTACTCATGTTTATTTTCTGCGAACGCATTTCAGCGCTTCGACCCTGGCCTTTTAGGTTGGCAGCATAGTCCAGCTCATCGCTTTTCATTCATTTAGACGGCTATTGCGCAATCGCTTACCTGCTTATATAAAAAATAGGGCAATATTTGGCGCTTGTCATTCTTGGCAAACCTGCTGAGACCTTATCTCGGCACGAACGAGCTGGTTCACCCTTCTCGGGACTCTTTTTTTTCTCAAAAAATATTTATCTCCCTTGCGGCAATCCCCGTTTTACCGTCTCGGGATATCAACGGGGAAGCTCATCTCCTTCCTTTTTTCTTTTTCCTTCCTTTCTTCTTCCTTGCCTATTCTTTATTTTCTTCCTTCAAATGCTCGGAATTCTCCAGAAGATATGATGAAGAAGTTCTCTTGAACTTATACGGAAAGAAAATCGGGTTGTCACGAAGTCCTTTGAATGGGCTTTTCTACCGTGTTGTACCTTAGTTCTGCACTTATTAAAGCTGTCTCACTCAATTTCTCCTTTTGATTGGGCAGAAGTTTGGTACGTAGAGAGGGTAGGGTGGTAGACCTTGACCCTCACGGAAATAGCCCTCATTGCAGTCCAACTCTCGACAAAACTCGTTACTTGGTTCGCATTGGTGCTTTCCTGCTCGATTTCTTCTCTTTTAGTTATCTTTTACAGATTTATAACTTACGGAGACAGGTTCCCTCTTACGTTTTTCCTTATCAACAGCTAAGTCATCATGGCACTGCTTCCAATCAAATTTCATGAACATCTTCAGGTTTGTGAAGTTTCCCTGGCAAAGAACCAATTTATTGTTTTTTTTTCTCGCAAATGTACGTTTTCCACCGTTTTTCAGTTGACCAATGTGGGCATTCGCCCGCAAAACATTTGTTTCGCAAATGTCACCATGGAATCGGACAAATTCATCGTCGTTCGCGAAATGGTACGTTACAGTTGTTCATATTGTCCATACCAGGATAACCCTATTTGATTCAGTTTTCTTTTTAGAGTGGGAACTCTCAGGAAGCGGTAATAATCGATCTCGAACAACCGCTGCCGGAGCACTGGTCCCTAACTCTTCCTCACTTCTTTTTAGATCATATCCCACTGAGTCGGGTCTACTAAACCCACGTTCCTCCAACTTCCAGCTTCCGCATTCCCAGCTGGGACAGTTGGAAATCTCATTTCCCGAACGGGATCATTTGTCCAATTTGTATTTTTACTAACAGTTCACGGAAGGTGTTGGGACCAGTTCTCTGTATTATTATTTGTAGTGCCGTCACTAACTTTTGAATGTTGATCGTAAATCTTTATAGATCGGGGACTCTCAGCAAGTGGTTATTATCGATCTCGCAGATCCGATGAATCCGCAAAGGCGACCAATATCTGCTGATTCGGTCATTATGCATCCATCAGCGAAAATCATCGCTCTCAAATGTGAATCGTTGAAATTTTTTTTCTCAGAAAGTGAGATTGGGTGTATCAAGTAACGGCCAGCGAGAGGTCAATTCCTGGGCTGGTTCCATTTTTTTTCACATTTCATCAGCTCAAGGCGTCGCTAACCTCTGTTCAACCAACCAGGTTTTCACTCCCGCTGTGCTGCTATGCTATGCTGCTGTCTCACTTTTTTAAAAAAATACGGCTTGATTTCTCGAGCCAGCGTTTCAGTTTTACCAAAACCTTGCTGCCTTTTTGAATGCCGTTTGGCCTGTGGAATGATTTGCGGTCAGGTTCTTATCCTTCCAGACGCATCTGGTACCAATTTGCTGTCTCGAAAAGGTTAGAATGCCTGGCTGGCGTTGGCGGGAGCCGATTCGGGATTCCGCTTCCAAACCAGTTGCCAGTGTGCCAACTCGCCTATTGTCATTAGGGCTCTAAAACTGCAAAATTCATCAGCTGGACCTGGTGCATTACTCCCACGTTGAACAGCTTTTTGCAGTCAGCTGCCCTTTTCTGGCATTCGCTGCCACCCATCACACTCTGAGAGCCCATAACTGGATAATTTCATTTGGCGATGAAGCATTGCTCATAAGCAGCGCTTGTGCCCTTTCACTCCATCTCAAAAACTATTTTCCCACCACTAACATTTTTGGAGAACGGTTAACCCAGACTTTTCCGTTCAGTGGCTGAGTTTCTCTTTGATTTTAGTGCTAAAAATAGCTTTAAGTGTTTTGTGTGGGGGGGATGAGAGGTACTGAAAACTATACGTCCATGTTCTACTTTCTTTCATTCCTAGCACAATCAGAGTCCTAAGTGTTTTTCTTAATAATTATAAGGCTGGAGTGGGTTGCGAAGCCTACCGTTTGGGGTCAACGCGTTCATTTAAGCATGAAACGAACAAAAACCACACAAGGGTTGCCGTGCGCGAGCGTTTAAACGATCCTTAAGACCACTGCTCTGACTGATAAACCTTGACTTTTCAGTCAGTCCTCTCGAGTTTGCTGAAGCGTTTGAGGGGGCAGGTCTAATGTATTTTTGCCCATTTCAAGCTCTTGCAGAGGTGAAGACTCCGTAAGATAAGGCTGTCAATGCACTTCAATCGCGTAAGGTTGAAGATGCATGGCAGCTACAACCGAGAAATGAATACCGCTGTTTCTTCTAAAGTCGAAACCTTTGACCCTTTCAAACATAGGAGAATGGTGATCCAGACCTGGGTCTGTCGCGAAAATTACGTTTGCCAAGGTCGAAAACTGAGTCAACTGCCGTCATCGACTACCAATTGCTTGAAATTACCATTCTCGTGTGCACACTTCAAGAGAGCACTTCGAGGTGTTTCCTCAGAAGAAAAAGCTGACATTTCCCATCCGTTTTCGAGGATTTTATGTGTATTTGACTAGCGACCCTCTAAAAGCGACGAGCGTCGTTCGTGTCCACCCAATCCCTTCTTGAAAGAACCGGTTTTTGCTCGTAAGGCGACGGACGGCGCTCGGTCAAATGTTCCTTTGAGCAACTTTCTTTGCGCATTTCGATTCACGAAAGATATCTCTCTGATTAGGTTTTGCGAGTTCGCTTGGAAAGAAATGATAAAGCGTTCACACTTTGCGTCAGCGTTTTGAGCAGTAATCGATACCAATACTTTCTTAGTGGCTCGAAATGTTGGCGGACGCTCGAAGCGCTCAAAACGCCGACGCAAAGTATGAACGCACTTTTAGGAGTCACTTTGATTACCAGTGCTTGATAGAGTTTTTTGCAGCGGGTAAAACTCTCCAAATATTCAATATTGAACTGAAAGCAAAGGTAAAAGCACATCAAAATGCTGAGGATATCATTTTCTGGAAGTGGATCAATGAGAAAACAATCGCGTTGGTCAGCGAGACAGCTGTCTATCACTGGTCTATCGAAGGTATGAAAAGGTCCGCCTTTCCATCAAAACAGCTAATTAAAAACGTCCTTTTCAGGAGAAAGCGCACCAACTAAAATGTTTGAACGACACCAATCATTAGCTGGTAGCCAAATTATCAACTATCGTGCTGATACGGAGTGTAAATGGCTGGTTCTTGTTGGAATAGCTGCTAAGGTGACCTTGTCTGTTATTAGCGGTTATGTCCCTGAAGAATTTTAAACATGTCCTTCAAGGAGAATCGTGTTGTTGGAAGTATGCAGCTGTACAGCACCGAGCGAAGGGTTTCACAACAGCAAAGGTAAAAAGCACATCAATAATCTGAATAAGTTTCTATTATTTTTTATTAATTGTTCTTTATCGTGGAGCATGATCAGTTGATATTTGGCTACGTATATTTTACGGTGTCGAAGTGTACTCAAATGAGAAAGAAATCGCGTTGGTCAGCGAGACAGCGTCTAATCACGTGTCTAAAACATTTTAGTTTGTGTCGAAGGGTCATGAATTAACAGTCCTCTGCCGTGTCACCATGACAGAGTTGGAGCACAGCTAATTAAAAACGTCCTTTTCAGGAGAAAGCGCACCAACTAAAATGTTTGAACGACACCAATCATTAGCTGGTAGCCAAATTATCAACTATCGTGCTGATACGGAGTGTAAATGGCTGGTTCTTGTTGGAATAGCTGCTAAGGTGACCTTGTCTGTTATTAGCGGTTATGTCCCTGAAGAATTTTAAACATGTCCTTCAAGGAGAATCGTGTTGTTGGAAGTATGCAGCTGTACAGCACCGAGCGAAGGGTTTCACAACCCATCGAAGGACACGCCGCATCTTTCGTTCGCTTCAAAATGGACGGGAATCCTCACCCATCCAATCTGTTCTGTTTTTCTGTTAAAAATGAGGCTGGAGGCAAAGTGAGCGTTTTTACGGTTTTTCATGTGGTGTCCAATCAGAAGATCAGATCGATTATGAGCGATGAATTCAGCTTCACGTCATCGAAGTTGGTTCGCCTCCAGCTGGTAACCAGCCATTTCCAAAGAAAGCTGTCGACGTTCCATACACAGCCGAGACTGCTAACGACTTCCCAGTTTCCATGCAGGTTTGTTGCACTCACAATCTTTTTTGCATTTTCTCTTAGTTTTCGGTTTATTTTGCGCTGTACTTTTCTTCGACATTATAAAAACGCGTTCATACTTTGTGAGTGTAGAGATTCCGCGAACACGTTGAACGTGATTTCCGGATTCGCCTAAGAAGGTCATGGGCAGAATCGATTTGTTCCCATTCCATCACAGGAATGCTGAGTTATGGCTAAAAGGGGGAACCCCAGGCGAGGTTCAAACTGGCATGCTTCGCTGACTGAGCCATCCATTGCACCACCAGTTCCGCTCTTAATCTGTCAACTTAATGGCTTTGTACCATAGTCTTATTAGACGAACATTATCCCGGTGCCCAAGCTCTTCACCTTTACAAAGTATGAACGCAACAATAGTGGTCGCTCATCTAGCGATTGTGAGGAACCTAGCTGTGGCAAGAACTAGTTTCTCCGCAAACAAATTGTGGGAACCTGACATCCTGATTCTTGTTGAACAGCAATTGTGGATAGCCAGATATGAGTAACTATGGCTTTTTAACCTGTTAATGTATTTTTACGGTGACTCATTGTTCCGGTTCTTTTCGAGAAGTAACACATTAACCTTCGCAAAGGTGTAATTCTTTTTTTTTCGACGATTGGGGATGCGATTGATAGGCTGTCGTCTTCTCAAAGATCTCATTGAAAGTGATTCATGATTCAGCGAAGAAGCACGTTGTTATGGTTGTCAGGGATTGTTTATAGGGGAATTTTCAAGGTTTGAAGGATTTCGTGGAGCAGTGCGGCTTGGTGGGGGCATGAATGCTATATGTACTTGTTCATCAATTCGTGAAGACCTGCAAATTCCTGAGACCAAAGTAGCTCATTCTCATCGTTTCCTGTCTTCACAGGAATTTATAGTCTGACCAAATGGAGACCTGTTACGTAATCATGAACAAACAAAAAGAATTAGCGGAAGTGCTGCCCCTCTAAGTTGAACAGCGCCAATCCTATTAGTAACGCAAAGTTGTTCGAGTTAGCGTGTTATAGCTCTCAGAATATTTTTTGTGTGTTCTCGTTGAGCAACAGCATTCAACACTTCTCTCTGCAAAGCATGAAAGATTGCCTCCTTCTGTTGAGACCTTAACACTTTGACCGTTTGCATTGACTCTATCGTACGTTTTCGATATCGATATTTTTGTGAATAATCGCACGTAGCCATGTTCCGAAAATTTGTTAGTGCCAGGTTGCGGTCCTTTGATACTAAATTTTCATGGCATTTCATTTTCATGGGGTTGCGTTTCGCTCAATTCCCTATTCATGTTCAGTGATTCGGAATGCCGATGTTGTTTAGAGGGGTTATTGCGCGAAATTTGATACGCATTCGTAAACATTGCTGTTTCGTAATGAGAACGCGAGCATGGCGAATGGATGACGTAAATGGGAATTGTAATCAATCAGTTTTTATATTCAGCCTGTGCTATGTAGTTGATATACTTAGCACCGAGTTATGGCTAGGATGAGAGAACGAAAGAGACTCATCCTGTTGACCCGTTATGTCACCCTTCTCGACTCCTCTTGGTAGTCTCCAGGTTCTCCTTACTTGAAACCTCGGCACGATGTCCAATTATATACCATTTTCACTTCAAGTTCACTCAAATTAAATTCACCATCACTTTCCAAATCAAATTAACCACACTTATTAGGCCGGGCAACTCATCAACCAGATCACGCAGACACCACTGCGAGCCCCGCCCCTTGACCACGCCCACTTGCTTTTTGCGTAATTTTGAACTTCAAATTATTTGTATTGTGGGACTGTTACGTGAAGCCCCGCCCGCTGCGAGAGGCTCCGTGCACTCGAAGTACCCCGCCCACTTTTCAAAAATGGTGCAATGTCGGCAGTATAGGGTCTTGGCTTTCATGCTAGGGTCTCGTTCGTCACTCGGAACAAGAAAATCAGGCAAAGTTTGTTCCGAATGATCAGCAATACCCTAGCATGCCAGCCGAGACTCTATACTGCCGATTTGCACCATTTTTGAAAAGTGGGCGGGGCTTCTTCAAAGTGGGCGGAGCCTCTCATAGTGGGCGGGGCTTCACGTAGCAGTCCAAAAATGCAAAAACTTTGAAAAATATCAAAATTCCGCGAAAAGCAAGTGGGCGTGGTCAAGGAGCGGAGCTTAGATTGCCAAACTCTAGAGAATGGGCGGAGTCGGCCATGTGTCAATGCCCAGTCGTTTTCAGTCAAAGTGTTTGTGGGAAACAGCAAAAGATAAAAGTCACATAAGCAGAAGTTATGAAACAAGATTTGAAAATCTATGCCGCTGACAAGTGGGCGTGGCCGTCGGGGCGGGGCTCGCAGTGGTGTCTGGCGTGATCTGGTTGATGAGTTGCCCGCCCTAATAAGTGTGGTTTGATTTGAAAAGTGATGGTGAATTTGGTTTGAAAAGGGGTGAATTTGGTTTGAAAAGGGGTGAATTTGGTTTGAAAAAGGGTGAATTTGGTTTGAAAAGGGGTGAATTTAAAGTGAAAATGGTATATTTTAGTTCCGTCAAGCGAGCTTGTTAGGTGGATTCTTTTATCACCCGGATGTTTCGACCTTCTCTTCTTGTTCAAAGGTCTGAAAAGGGCTCGAAGCTTTTGCACGCTACCCGACCAACGCCTTCCCCCCTTCAACTTTTCCGATGCCGTCGAGAACACCCCCTAAAACCCGACAATGACAGCTTTTAACTCACCAAAGGTTCTGCTGTTTGCGCAATAATAATATTTCACGCATCAGTGGAATCTTTGGTGAGTTGAACGTTGTTATTATCGGGTTTCCAGGAGTGTTCTCAGCACGAAATCGAACGCTAGACGGGGAGAAGGCGCTTGATTGGGTAGTTTGCAGATTTGGAGCGAGCTAATTTCAGCCTCTGAAGTAGACGAGAAAACTTAAACGTGTAGCCATAAAGGATTCAATTTAACAACCTCGTTTGATAGAACTGAAGCATACTAATCTTCCCAGAATTTCAAGTTCGTGCTTAATGATTTCGAAGAGTCGACTAATCCGCAGAAAGGAAAAATGTGGTTGTCGATCTGAAAAAAACGTAGTTCGGGAGAGTTGGGAGGATTGACGAAAAGGATTAGATACGTTTCGATTTTTGTTAGTAAAGGTAAAATCGATCAGTATCGTGTCCTTTTCGTGGGTCCCCCTATTTTGTCGATTTGTCCGATTTCACCACACTCCATCTCGGCGCTGTGTATGAACGACGCCTTAACATTCCTATCCATTATGATTGCGCGATACCTTCGGAGTGTGTATTGTGATTTGATTTGTTTATTTATTCATATATGCACATAAACGAGCTGTTAGAGCGCGTTCGTACTTTACGATCAGATCGAGAGGTATGAACGCGCTCTCAGTCTGGCACTTGCATCAATTTCGTAGCGCTATGAGAAGTACCATTCCGTTGCAATCACTGTCAAGTTGTTTTCAGGCTTCATCAAAGCACGGCATCGCGTATTTGGTGACAAAGCATGGCCTCGTTCATTTGTATGATATGGAATCGGGTTCTCGTATTTATTCGAATCGTATTTCTACGGATACCGTTTTCGTGACATGCGAATACCAAGCTACTGGTGGAATTATGGGCATCAATCGCAAAGGCAGGTCAGTTAGTAGACCTTAACTTTCTTCAGTTGAGTAGTTAGTTCATCGAGCTACTTGAAGGTGCTCTCGGTGTCGATCGATGAGAACAACATGATTCCTTTCGTCACACAGCAGCTGCAAAATCCAGATCTAGCCCTTCGACTTGCTGTCCGTTGTGATTTACCAGGTAAGCGCTGATATAGAACTTTATGCCCAGCTAGTCCATATTCAATTGGATTTGGGAATTTTCAGGTGCGGAGGAGCTGTTTGTGCGCAAATTCAACTTGCTTTTCGGTAACGGGCAGTTTGCTGAAGCTGCAAAAGTTGCGGCCACCGCTCCACAGGTGACGACGATCAGATTCCAAGAGCATAAATTCCGAGCTTTACTGGTGACACAACATCAGCCTGGTTCTGTTTTAGGGTATTCTTCGCACGCCTCAAACTATCCAGAAATTCCAACAATGTCCTGCCAATCCTGGTGGTGGTGCTTCACCATTGCTCCAGTATTTTGGTATTCTGCTGGATCAGGTACATCCCCCTTTTTATTCATTTTAATAGCCGAGGATCTTGATGTGCTTGAGGTTAAGCTGACCAAGCGCTGAGTGCTTGACTAATTTAGGGCAAACTTAACAAATATGAGACACTCGAGCTGTGCCGTCCGGTTCTTGCTCAAGGACGCAAAGAATTGCTGAACAAATGGTAAGTCTTCAATCACTGTTTGACCTTGAAGTTGTAATGGATGTTTGAGGGGAATGGGATTGATCCTGATGTTGAACACATCGCTCACTGTGTTTTTAAGAATATTTTGCTGGGGCGCAGATCGGCGACGGGGGAAGGGGGGGGTGGCATTTTGCACTCTCGGTGCTTCACTAGTTCCGGTTTATGACTCTCACCCTGATGAAACGTGTGAACTCCTGTGAATCTGGAACAGGCTCGTCTAGCCACCATGGTAGAACCTGCGAACTCTTGTAAGCTCACAGAATGGCTCTCTAAATGGGTCGACACGTCGATGACAAGTAGCTATTGTCAAAATGACCCCACCCACCGTCGCCGAGCTGCTCCTTTTGCTGCTTTCATCCTTCTTTCGATAGGTGGGAAAGTTCAATTTGAAGTTTTTTTTTCCAGGCTCAACGATCAAAAGTTGGAGTGCTGTGAAGAGTTAGGAGACTTAGTTCGCCCTCATGACCCTACGGTAGCGTTGTCGATTTATCTCCGTGGCAATGTTCCGCATAAGGTAGGTGACCTGAACTAGTTTGAAATTTTATATAATAATTGTTAGAGTGCGTTTATATAATACTTAGTCACCGTTTCGAGCAACGAAAAGTATGGGTATTGATTCAGCGTTTTGTGCGCGTGCCAGCGCTTTGAGCGTTTCGCGGGCGGTCGTTGAAAACCGCTCGGAACGCTGACGCAAAGTATGACAGCAGCCTCAGGCTTCCAACGTCACACTCACATTAATTTGCCCCTCCAATACCTTACCTATGCTCAGGTGGTTCAATGCTTCGCGGAAACTGGCCAGTTCGACAAAATTATTCTCTACGCGAAGCGTGTGGGCTTCGAACCTGACTATTTGTTCCAGCTCAGACAGGTTGGCTTTGACTTGAAGAGTTCTGATATGATTTTGAGAATCGAGTACACTTTAAGTTGACTATCGAAGAATCGTGAAAGTTTTTAACGTCATCGAAAGCACTCATGACGATAATTGATTGTATAATGAAAAATAAACGCTTTTCGGCTTGGTATGGGCACCGAGTGACACTCATCCAATCTTGTATAAGCCATACTGTAAAAACATCTAGATTCCTATAGCTGGCGCTAATGCCGTTTGGACTTCCAGCAACTTCGGCACCGTGCTCATTTTTAAATTGCCTAATTTACCAAATCCGCTAAAAACTTGTATGTAGGGGTAGTTACATCCTGATACGAATATGACTTCGCCCTCTTTGCCGCTGGCGCTAATGGATGACACTACGATTACCTGCGCTCCGCTAAGGCTGAGCCCAAGAGGTAATCGTAGTGTCATCCCTTGGCGCCAGCGCCAAGAATGAGTGTCATAATTGTAATCAGGATGGTAAATAACCCTTGTGTACATATTTTCAGCGGGTTTGGCGACTTAGGTAATTTAAAAATGAGCTCGGTGCCGAAGTTGCTGGAGTCCAAACGGCATTAGCCTGTAGCTGGGGTGGCTTCACTGTCACCACTTCGTAACAGCAGTTTACCTGTCTCGTCCTAAGACATGTAAGACCTAATACTTCAGAAGAACTGGAGGAACTTGGCGAAAGCGCAGGAATCCCCCCTCCCAAGCCGAATACATGGAGAATGATATTGTTCCATAACTGTTCTTGTTCCACCCCTAGCTGCTTATTCGTTTTTAGATTTTGCGTTCTGGAAACCAGGAAGCGGGCGCTAAATTTGCTCAAATGATGGTCATGGAGGGCGAGAATGGAGAGCCTTTGGCGGATTTGAATCAGGTTAGCTTTTCTTTCAACGAACTTGGATAGAGTTACTTCTTGGCTGGGTTGTGTTCTTCCAAATTTCTTTCTGAACATTTCTGTTGTGCGTTCAGATCATCGATTGCTTCATGGAAGTGCAAGCTGTGCAGCCTTGTACTCAATTCTTGTTGGAAGTGCTCAAAAATGACAAGCCGGAAGAAGGTCATCTGCAAACTCGCCTGCTCGAAATGAATCTCCTTGCAGCTCCGCAAGTGAGCCATCGCGTTCACCTTTACGAGATGGCTTTCAGTGTTGTTTTTTTCTCAAGATTTCGAAGTAAATCCTTTAATTTCAGGTGGCTGACGCTATCCTAGGAAACAAGATGTTTAGTCACTACGATAGGCCACAGATTGGACAGCTTTGCGAGAAAGCGGGATTGCTTCAACGCGCCTTGGAACACTTCACAGATCTGTACGATATTAAGCGCACTGTTGTGCACACAACACACTTCAAACCAGATGTGAGTTGAACTACGTCATCAAATGCTTTCCATCTGATGGTGTGCCCTCTAACCTACGCTGGTGTTCTAAATCCGCCTTTCAAGTGGCTGGTCAACTACTTTGGCTCATTGTCGGTGGACGACTCTCTTGAGTGCCTGAAAGCGATGCTCACGCAAAATATTCGTCAAAATCTACAGGTTCGACAGCGTAGTTTTGACTATTCTTCCATTTATTTTGTATAAAAGAAAATTATATCTCTGACTGTTTGCCCTTTCCAGGTTGTGGTTCAAATTGCATCCAAATATCATGAGCAATTGGGTACCGAGAAGCTCATTGATATGTTCGAGACTCACAAGAGCTACGAAGGATTGTTCTATTTCCTTGGATCGATTGTGAACTTCAGCCAGGATCCTGAAGTGCACTTCAAGTATATCCAGGTGAATAATGCGTAGCCACATAGCCACGTTTACCGCTAAAAATCTTAGTCAGGAACCTGAGCATTTTAATTCTGCTTCGAAGCCTGTGTTAGTCATTCTTATTGGGTAGGCTAATTTCTATGACTTAGTTCAAACGGTACTTATTTCTATAGGTAAATTGCCGGAGGAAGCTCAGAATTACGCGATCCTATAGCTTAAATCGCGCGATCGAATAGCGAGGTATGGACGCGCTCTCGAAGTTTGGCCTCCGTTTAGTTTCCTAAAATGAGTCTACGAAATCAGAAATCATCCCAAGGGAATTGGAGTGAAATGAGACAGCTAGGAAATCCTTTTGTGCGAAGAAGGAACAGACCTTTGGCGTCGAGTTTTCTTCTTGCAAATGCAAAAAAGCTTATCTTCCTAAGGAGTTACAGAATGTACTCTGACTGCCTACGTGAAAATAAATATTGTTTTGATTCGAATGCCGTCGTTATTTCTGTTTTGCGATCGACTTTGGTGCTCAGTAAACACGAGGGTGCGAGATCTGCAGGTCTTTCATTTCTAAAATTCAAGACGGTTCTTGCTGTCGTAGAGGCATATTCACTATTTTCATTGGAAAGGTAAAGCTTTGTTTCTCTAATAGAGCCGTATGAAAACCTGCGATCGAAAGCTTCAATGACATATAGTCGGGTCATATTCGCTTTTAGATACATTTGAACGCAAGCTAATGAAGTTTCGAGGAATCCGCAAAAACTATACTTCTAAGGGGATCGAAGCAAAAGGCCTGACTTTTTTTGAGGGTTGCTGTCATGTAGCTCCTTCGCGTGACACGATACGCAGGAAAGCGCTTCACTGTAACTACGTCGGTTCGCGTTATCTAACGCATGATTAGAAAATTTTGGGTTTTTTTAATGGTTCACTATTGGAACGACGCTAAAAAATCTTTCTCGACAGCGCGGTTCATTGTAAACGATTCCCGATCGCCAGTAAACTTTTTGTAGTTTAGGACAGCTGTTTTTTTGTGCTTACAGTGATTTGTACCCTGTTTAGGCTGCAACCCGTACTGGTCAAATAAAGGAAGTAGAGCGTATTTGCCGCGAGTCGAACTGCTACGACGCAGAGCGTGTTAAGAACTTCCTCAAAGAGGCTAAGCTTGCCGATCAGGTTTGTATTCTAACTCGAAAAGTGGTCCAAGGGATGATTCTATTGAAGGGCTTTTTCAGCTGCCCCTAATTATCGTCTGTGATCGCCATGATATGGTTCATGATCTCGTCCTGTATTTATATAGGAACCAGCTTCAGAAATACATCGAGGTTTTCGTGCAAAAGGTGAGTTTCGGAGTTTTTTCCTGGTTTTTTCAGACTGCAGGAGCTGTTTGTTCCAGGTCAACTCTGCTCGCCTTCCGATTGTCGTAGGAGGTTTGCTTGATGTTGATTGTTCCGAAGATGCTATTAAGCAGCTGATCCTCAATACTCGTGGAAAATTCGACATTGACGAATTGGTAGCAGAAGTTGAGAAGAGGAACAGGTTTGATTCTCTTCTCCTTGCAAGACCGCGTTCAGACTTCGTGATCGCGCTATCGGATCGCGCGACCACGACCGGAAGCGCTTCACCGCCAACCGGCGGTGCCGCAACGGCAACTCGCCAAACGGCAGTTTTGCTGTTGCCGCACTGTTGCAAATTGTGCCGTTGTGGCAGGCACCGCTGGCAGTGGAGCACCCCCGATCGTGGTCGAGCAATCGCGAAATTTGGACGCGATGTGATGCTCGTCGAGATCGATGAACACACCTGAGAAAGGCTTCGTTCAGGCTCAAGCTCCTTTCTCATTGGCTGGAGTCCCGCGTGCAGGATGGTGCTACAGACGCAGCCACTCATAATGCAATGGCCAAGATTTACATCGATGCTAACAACAATCCTGATCGATTCCTCAGAGAGAACCCTTACTATGATAGCCGTGTGGTTGGAAAGTAAGCAGTTTTTCTGGATGGTAAGAAATTCAGCATTCATTCAAGCTGCTGTTTTTAGATACTGTGAAAAACGTGATCCTCATTTTGCTTTCTTGGCATATGAACGTGGCCAGTGTGATGCCGAGTTGATTGCGGTCTGTAATGAGAATTCCTTGTTCAAAAATCTGGCGCGTTACCTTGTCCGTCGCCGCGATTATGGACTATGGGAGCAAGTGCTCAATGAGGAAAATCAGTACAGAAGACAACTTATTGATCAGGTATTTTGGGAACATTGTTTTCATATGTTTATCGAAAAGTAATTTGTCGTTGAAGGTCGTACAAACTGCCCTTTCTGAAACCCAAGACCCTGAAGACATATCAGCAACAGTGAAAGCTTTCATGGCAGCCGATCTGCCGAATGAGCTCATCGAACTGCTTGAAAAGATTGTTCTTGACAACTCGGCCTTCTCAGAGCATCGCAATCTGCAGAACTTGCTTATTCTCACTGCAATGAGGGTAAGTCCTTTCACTTTGGCTTCTCATTTCTGGCCACCGATTAGTTCTTATTGCTTTAGGCCGATCGCTCAAGAGTAATGGAGTACATCCAAAAACTCGACAACTATGATGCTCCAGATATCGCCAATATTGCAATCTCTAGTGAGCTTTATGAAGAGGCGTTTGCCATCTTCAAGAAGTTCGACGTCAACAACAGCGCCATCAATGTGGGTAGCGTTCCGTCAGACATCTTTCCGAGAAGTTTTCGATCCTCTGAGTTCTGCAATTCAGGTGTTGATTGACAATGTAGCGAATCTCGACCGTGCCTACGAGTTCGCCGAGAAGTGCAACCAATCAGACGTGTGGGCAAGTCTTGCCAAGGCTCAGTTGAGGCAAGACATGGTCAAAGAAGCAGTTGACTCGTTCATTAGGGCTGATGATCCAGGAGCCTACATGGAAGTTGTTAGCAAGTGTACTCAAACTGGTGTGTAACATTTTTGTTACAGTTGTATTTGTTAACATGTGTTAGAGTTATTTTAGAACTTTACGAAGTTTTCTTATTCAGAACATTGGGAGGATCTCGTGCGGTTCCTTCAAATGGCCCGCAAGAAGTCTCGCGAGTCGTACATCGAGACTGAGTTGGTCTATGCATTGGCCAAAACTGGTCGTCTCACTGAGTTGGAGGAATTTATCTCTGGACCAAATCATGCGCAAATCGGCCTGGTAAGACGGCAGATTTAATTTGAAAAAGGTAAGCAGGCTAAATTCAATGTGCTTTTGAAGATTGGCGATCGATGCTTTGACAATGGCATGTACGAAGCGGCGAAAATTCTTTTCAACAACATTTCCAACTTTGCCAAGCTCTCAGTCACCCTTGTTCGCCTGGGAGAGTACCAAGGAGCGGTCGATGCCGCTCGAAAGGCTAACAGCACCAAGACATGGAAGCAGGTATGCAATTGCTCTCTTTGTTGTTCTTTTGTCTTTCCACATTGACTTCTAACCTGAATTGCGCTCTGTCTTTCGGGGAGAGTGCAATGTGTCAAGACAATCGTAATAAGACGAGGTGAGCGCGGCAAGCGACACCACCCGCGAGATGGAGGGGAGCTTTTTCACATGGCCGCTCAAATTAATTTGAATTTCGAAAGGGCGGAAAAGAGAATAGCAAGCGGCATGGAATCTTGCCTCCGCTTTTATTCCCCACACTTTGGCTGCTTCAATCGATAAGATGATTCTTATCGAGAATCTGCCGCGCAGGATACACCGCGCGCGAATCCTCGACAAGTTGCGGTTGTCTTGTCCGTCTCCCCGAGAAGAGTTTAGTAGCAATAAGTATCCTGCAGAATCGTAGTCTGTGGAGTGACCATACTGTTCCAACTTATTCTTATTCCAGGTGTGCTTTGCCTGCGTTGAGAACGGGGAATTCCGTTTGGCTCAGATGTGCGGTTTGCACATTGTTGTTCACGCAGATGAGCTGGAGGAACTCAACAACTTCTACCAAGATCGCGGACATTTCGAGGAACTAATTGGTATTTGCTTTCTTCAGACCCTTCGCTTTTTTTCGTTTCTCCCCTGCGTCATCAAGCAGGTTGGCAGTGAATCCCTCTTTCCGATATTTTATGTGAATGTGTTCCAGGTCTTCTCGAAGCAGCACTCGGTTTGGAACGAGCCCATATGGGTATGTTCACGGAGCTGGCTATCTTATACAGTAAATATAAGCCGGAGAAGATGCGAGAGCATTTGGAATTGTTCTGGAGTCGCGTGAACATCCCGAAAGTGTTGCGTGCCGCTGAACATGCTCATTTGTGGGCCGAATTGGTATTCCTGTATGATAAGTATGAAGAATTTGACAACGCAGCATTGACAATGATGCAACATCCGACAGAATCGTGGAGGGAGCAGCATTTCAAGGAAGTTATTGCTAAGGTGAGATTAGCCTAAGCTCCTCATTGAATGATCCATGGCTATAACATAACGTCTAAATATTCAGGTAGCAAATGTCGAGTTGTACTATAAGGCGATGCAATTCTACTTGGATTACAAGCCGTTGCTCATCAATGACCTTTTGGCAGTACTTTCTCCACGACTTGATCATTCTCGAACTGTTCAGTTCTTCTCGAAGCGTGAGTGTTCTGGTTGACTCTGAATTCTGTAGCCTGTAATCAATATCGCTACATCCTTCCTCTGATTTCCAAAATCATGACTTGTTATCCCCGATTTAGCATGCGGTAGTGGGGGGGGGTCGAGTGGCTCGAGCCTTTGCTGTGATCCCCGAATGTTAGGCCACTGCTCGCCAACATGGAAAGGTCAATGAGTGAGTTCGATTTACAAGTGACCGCTGCGGAATCCACCAAAATTTGGACGGTTGAAGTTTGTTGAAGGAAATTACTAGTTTTCCTATGTTTCACATTTTCCTGCTGTAGAAAAAAAACTACAATTTCCTCTAGCGTTCCAGGGGATTGAAAGTTTGAGCTCAGCGTCTTGAAATCGTCTCCGTTGATAACGGCATTAATCTTCACAGCTTTGTTGTGGACCAGAACTGCTTACCTTGGGCATGCTTTCTCATCCCGATAGCCAATCTCCTGCGCATCTTTGCTCTTTTTCCAAGTCTCTGGGGTGCTGTAGAACAGTGATTTATGAACCTTGGACGTCCCGCGCACCACTGAGCAGATTGCGCGCACAACGTGCGTGTCTCGAGCTTGTCAAAAGGTGATCCCTTCTTGACGTTTATCCACTTCTTCCCGTTGTCTGGGGTGCTCTGGAAACATTTGCAGAATTTCTAAGTAGCTCCTCCCACCTCGGCGCACGCTCCGACCACAGCGCGCGTGTCTCGTACTCTTCAATCGGTGACCCCTTTCTGACCTTTATCCACTGTTCCTGTTGATTGGGGTGCTGTGGAACCGCTTTACGAGATTTTCTTGGCTCCTCCCTTCTAGGCGCACGCCCTGCCCACAGCGCTTGTGTCTCGCACATTTAAACCGATGGCCCCTTCCTGACCTTTGTCCATTTCTTCTCATTGTCTAGGGTAAACAAACAAATTATAGATAATTGTCATGGTCGTGATAATCTGTTGACCTTCCCAATGAGACTGTGTAAAAGCGTAAGGAAACTACATTTATGTCTGTTTGTTCCAGTGAAGCATATTCCACTCATCAAGCCATATCTGAAGCAGGTTCAGAATCTCAATAACAAGCAATCAACGAGGCGTTGAATCAACTTCTCATAGATGAGGTCGGTGTTGTTAGTGTTTTTGTTTCTTTACCCTGTAGGAACCTTGTTCGTGACCTAGAAACTCCTACTCTCAACTAGTAGTATCCCTAATTCAGGCCAGTATCTGTAAGTGGCGTTCTTACTTGGCCGCAGTGTCTTGAACGCTAACGCGAAGTGCACGCTAACTCTTTGAAGCCCCCACCCCCAACGTCTGTTTTCAGCGTTCAATTTGAAGCTGTGCTTGTGACTCAGGGTGGGCTAATGTCGTTTGGATGCGCTGACTTTTGGTTGCGGCTTGACTTTTGGCTCATTTATGAATTGCCTAGATCACCAAACTGCTGAAAACTCGTAAGCAGGGGAGAATCCTGATTACGAATATGAGATTCATTCTTGGCGCTGGCGCTAACGGAGGACACTACGATTACCTTCTGGGCTCAGCCTTAGCGGAGCGCAGGTAATCGTAGTGTCATCCATTAGCGCCAGCGCCAAGAATGAATGTCATATTCGTAAGGAGGATGTCAAATTAGCCTGTTTACAAGTTTTCTGTGGAGCTGGTAATATAGGCTCTTCATAGATGAGCTCGCAACCAAAAGTCAGCGCGTCCAAACGGCATCACCCCCAGGGTGATGCTACCCTTCTGTATTCTGTATTTTCAAAAAATTCTGTTTTTTTTTATTATCATGATAACTGCTGTTTAATGGTGAGTCGTAATTTTGACTGCCTTTTCAGGAAGATCACGCGGGTCTGCGCGCCTCAATTGATTCGCATGACAACTTTGATAACATTTCCTTGGCGCAACAACTGGAGAATCACCCACTTGTCGAATTCAGACGAATTTCTGCCTATCTTTTCAAAGGCAACAACCGATGGAAACAGTCGATCGAGTTGTGTAAGAAGGACAAATTATACAAGGTAACGCTCAGCAGATTCGCTGATTGGTCTTTAGGGGACGCGGTCAACCTCGTGTTCGCTATATGCGCATTTGTGATCATTCAGGATGCGATGGAGTACGCAGCTGAGTCGAGATCGAGCGAGTTGGCTGAGGAATTGATTGCGTTCTTCCTCGAGGAACGTCTCTATGAATGCTTTGCTGCTGCTCTCTACCACTGTTATGACCTTCTTCATCCTCATGTGATCCTTGAGTTGGCATGGAAGAACAAGATCACCGACTATGCTATGCCTTACATGGTCCAGGTCTTCCGCGACTTCCAGATCCGTGTAAGTTTCTTTCAGATTTAAAAATATTTTAATGCAGCTTTGATGTAAACTTCTTATTTTTAATTCTGTATTTTCCAGTTGGAACGCCTAGAACGTGCTGAAGCTGAACGAAAGGATGAGCAGCGAGAACAGCAACAACAAAACGGCATGACAAGTACGTTTCCTCCTTTTTTATACTCGTGTGTGTGGAAGGGGGGGTTAGGAAGGAGGGCGTCATAATCGTTATTTTGCTGGTGTCTTCACTAAGCATTGGTGATTAGAATTTGACACACGTTCCAGACCGCATGACACACCGCAGTGTGTCATACATTTTCCTCTGTGCTGTTTCGTACGGCATCTTTTTCGTGTTCCATTGTTATCAGAATGTCTTTGGACATGAAGTACACAGATCCCATGCAAACGAAACAGATAAGATCACCGATTATCTCCGAAATGTGTTGAAGTATGTTTATAGTAACTGCATACGTAGCAGGCATTGGTATGCAGTATCTGGAGCGTCTGTCCGAAGCGCATTCCACGCGTGCCTTATGAGCGTTTCTGACTTGACGCTTCCTTGTAAACTTGGTGGGGAAAGCTTTAGCTTGCATACTTACTTTGCGAATTTGGGCAGCGACGAGCCTTCAGAACAAGCGAGTCGAGAGAATCCTTCCCGAAAGGTTCAGACAGGAACCGGTTGAATCTGCACACTAGTGTTCTCGAGGAATTGGAGAATACAAAAGTTCGTAGAACCGAGAATTAAGAGAGTTCATAGAGAGTTCAAGAGAGAAGAGAGTTCAGGGAGAGGAAGGGGGACGGTATAGTCCATGACGTCTATGGCCTGACATCGCACGTAGGTTGACGCTGTTTAGCTTTGCCACATAATGAGCCGAGTCCTAGTGCCAATGACACCCCCCCCCCTTGTTACGACGCTATTGCCGGAATTTGTCACAAAACAATCGTAACATGCCGCACAGGGCCTAGCGAGTGACATCACGCACGAGAGAGACGAGTTTTTCCGGCCATTAATTAAATGTTGAAGGGGGGGGAGGGGGAAGATCGATAATTTCAGGTATGGAATGTCCCTCCGCTTGGATTCACATGGGTTAGTTTGTCCAACCAGCCAAGTGATGCACAGATCACGGCACGTCTGCCGTTAGGGAAGATGTTCGGAAAACACGACCTTTCCCATAATTCATTACGACCGGCCTCTTCCCCATCCTGTCTACTATTTTGCCGATTTTCTCGACTTCCTGTTCTTCGAAATTTCACCGAACATTTTCCACTTTTTCTCCCAAATGTCAAAGGGGAAAAACCGGCGAAAGATCAACAACCACTAATTTTCTTTCGCAATGCAGCAATTTCTCACAAAGGCAAATACGATCCCCCCTCACCCCCTCTCCGAACGACGAGCAAATAGTTCCCTCATTGAAAGTCTTCCGACGATGTGTATAGCGGATAACAGGTAAAACCAACTATCATAGAAGTTTTTTTCACACCACGACCCTCTACCTCCAACCGCCAAATTTGACTTCATGGGAATTCTTGAATGGAAGATGTGCCCTGATTACGATTGTCTTGCCCGTCTTTCCTCCTGCTGCTTCTGCTGTAGTTCGGATGTGCTGAACTATACCTCTATTTGGGAGGATGCGCATTATCCCGAGTCGCGAATCCTCCGCAAATGCAAATGGGCAGGATCAGGCCAGTCTGTTTGCAACTCCGTGTGCAATCTTCCCATACACGCATTCGAATTCGCGTTGTGGTATCATCAAATCGATATTTACTTTTACTTTGATACGTATTCTGAGAACTGGCGGGCTCTTCACATTCACTATGTGTGAGCAAGGCCTTGTATGTCTCTGAAGGACTTGCCGCAACTCTCAATGACTCGTGAATACTGATGCATATGGTTCCCAATCTTCTACCAAGCAGCACTTTTCCGCTTGATCTTTGCTGCTGTTTTTGTAATCGATATTGGGAAAATATTCATTTTCAGTGGAACCGCAATTAATGCTGACCTATGGCGGTGCGCCGATGCCTCCGATGGCTTTCGCTCCTCCACAAAACCCCTACGTGCAGCCACAATACGTCCCACAGCCACCGCATCCAGGTGTTCCTGGTCCTTTCATGTAGATTGATTGGAATTATTGTGCGTGCCATTGTTTGGTGACTAAACGCCACGTGTTCGAGCTGTTTATCAGGTGTAGGTGGAGGGGGTAAGCATGAACAGACATGATAAATGACGTGGTGTGTGGTGCTCCATCTGTCTGTCTCCATTTATTTTGTATCCAGGTTAATTTACGAATTTTTCGATTCAGTCATAAGTAGTGGTTGAATTGTTTCCAAAAGAGTTTACTTGTTCTTCTTTGCATGATTAAAACCAGCAACATGTGATCGAATTCCCTTGTTAGTATTTGTGCATGTCCCCCAAAGGTTAGTGATCCCCGATTTATCTGATAGTTCAAAGACACCGTCGACTTTCCTTCGTTCCAGATATATTTATTGAATTCTTGTTATTCACCGTCACATTTTTATCATAATTGTTCAATAAAATATTAGTATTGAAGATTTGTTGATTTGAATTTTCGACTTGTGGTTGTAACCCATCGCCGTTTTTTCTCAATTTGTCATTCATCACTCCTATGTGAGTTTTTGGGAAGTTTAAGAAAACAGGAGAGAAACCGTAGATCAAACTGCTCGTGAAATTGAGTGCATACTAGCGCCGAGTGCACACAATGCTACTCGGTTTTCGCCTTGACAGCACCTGACTACAAAAGGGAAGTGTCGCCGTCGCTACATGGCCCATTGTTGTGTATCCACGGAGCTGGCACTTTGAATTACGCGCAGTTTTCGAGAATACGGTACCCCACCGACTTCTTAAACTTATAAACGTGTCTTCTAGAGAGGTCTAGTGGGAATGAAGGTGACATCGAAATTCATTTCAAGTGCAACTACATATTGAAGTACGCTGAAGATGAAAATCAAGCGGGGTTGGTTCGTCAGTTTTGTATCACTAGGCACCCCACCCTCTCCTTAGTGGGCGGTATGGCATTTGTCAAAGAGACGTCGGCTAATCCGTAAAGCCGCGTTGGGCTTAAATAGTTACTCTCGAGGCGAAAAGATGTTGCTAACCAGGTTTCATGCGCAACATTCGTCTTAGGACCCGATCCTTCAAAGGTGGAACCGCTCATTTTTGGCCCCTAATATTTGACTTTTGCTCGATATGTGTTACCATTGACGAAAAGTGTGACAGGTTTATATTTCTTAAGACATTGATTCTCTGGGAAGATGAATCATGTCTTTTGTTGAGTCATTTGTTAGGGTTCCTGTTCAGTGGCGCTGTCCACGATTATGTGGGAAGAACAGACGCTGGAAGTTGCGCCACTTTCATTGTTCGAAAGAGCTTGGCAAAAGCATAAAGTGCTAATGCTGGGGCTGTTCATACCCTCTCGGAGGAAAGAAGTCTACTGCAAGCGTTGTACGAAGATCACTAGTCCATGTTCTGTCTTGCGTTCATGTTCTGAAATCTCGTTCGACTGCTTCAACATTTTTTCAGCACGTGCTCATTCAGTGTTGAACTAACTGCAAGAAAGACAGTTTTATTTAGTCTCTTTCCGAAGATCTCAGATATGAGCCAGATCCAACGTTCAGGAGCTTAATGAACTCTAGTTTTATTTGGTTTAATTGGGATTGGATTGCCCTCCAGCCCTCCCCTGAACAGTCCACCAGGTGTTTTTGGGCCGTGTTCCGCAAGTTGTACTGTTGCGCGACATGGTAGCTTCTTCGGAGTACTCAAGAAGCTGCAGAATTTTTTTAAAAATCCGGAGTTATGGTAGGATAATGGTGACTGGGCTTGTGCCCCTGAATTGCTCGCGACCTCGATTATTTTTATAACGTGGAGTATGCGCCTCCTATACTTGTTATTACTAAGGTTTCTCCAATAGAATAAGACCGTGAAGTTAGCCCCATTTCACTCTTCTTTTGTGTATACCTCCTTCTAAAGTTTATTTTTATTCATGTCACGTCATTTCTTCGCCCATGCACGATCTATCCGATCGCTTTGAGCTGTCAGTAGCGTTGATGAGCTCGCCGTCATCACTCGTGTTCCCGTTGATTTTCGGGCTAGTCGTACGAATGTCAGTAACGTATCTGTCTCCCTTGATACTGTGCTACTATTGCTTACGGGGCTCTTTCCCTTCCCAAGAGACGAACAGAGCTTCAAGTTGTTCGTTCAGATCGTTCACGGAGAAGTCTGACCATAGGTGGTCTTCGTGTGTTTCAAGATTCAATGGGTGAAGCGTGGCTAAGTGTCCGGCGCCCATTATGTAATCGTGACGTCTGTTGGATGCCTAAGGCAGCGTTCATACTTCGCGACGGCAGCGCTTCGGTCGCGCGTTCGACGCGATCGATGCAGTCGAAAGCATGCGCATCGATCGCGGAACGTGCGACCGAAGCGCTGCCGTCGCGAAGTCTGAACGCTGCCTAAGGTAATTCCCACGATTCCAGAACGTGTCGAAATCAGAGAACTCTGCACTCCGTTCATATACTGCGTCGTTCATCGCGAAATTCCAAAATTGCCCTTTCGATAACGTGTTAAATGACTTTGACTGCGTGACCGTCGATAATACCGTGTGTGTTCTTGAACAGTGTGCTTGAAGCTCTTGACTTGTTTAACCACTTTATTGGCAAGCTTTCGGCATATAATGCCTTCGTCAGGCCTTAAATTACAATTTCAAACATATAATAGCTACAACGAGCAATGCGTAAAACCTTACATACCAGGCCTTGAGAGGGACGGACCTATCGGCGGGGTGTCAGGGCAATAAGTGACCCGCACTATGACAATGAGACAAATGGGTGGCGGTGATTATGCGATGAGTCTCAGAAGGTCACGTAGCTCCTCTTTCGCATTGATCTCTGGCTTGAGGCGGTGTATCTCCCGAGCTTCCATTATTTTCCTCTGGAGCGGCCGTACCAAATGGCGATGCAACACACTCACATCAAAAGACGGAGCGGTCTCATTTGGGTGTCTAAGCGTACGGTGCCTTGAGAAGCTACTTCGTGGGTAAGCTGCGGGGTTGTTCAACGCTCTTCTATGCTCGTCCAGACGATTCCTCAAAGGTCGCGCGGTCTCCCCCACGTACGTTTCTCCACATCCTCTGCATTGAATGAGATAAACAGTGCCTTGAAGTTCACAAATCTTTTCGGATGAACAGTACCGGCAAGATTCATCGCGGCACCGATTTTCATAAATTCTTGAGGACGTGAGGAGGGTTGGGGGAGGACGAAAAACGAGACGAATGGGAAGCTGGGAGTTCTTCACGACGCGGTTCACCTGACGTGCCATTTTGTCGTTAACGAAAGGCATCATTAAGGTTATTCCATCAGGTGACGTATGTGGATACCAGGTCCTGAAAGGCACTTCGACATATCCGTTGCTTTCAAGGATGTTTTGGACCTTCGCGTCCACATCTGAATCCCTAA